AGTTGGGGCCATCTCAAAATCCAGTCGAATGGACTGAACTTGATTTGAAACCGGCTCGTCGCGTGTTATTTATGATTTCAAGCTAACTCGGCTCGAAATTGAATTGAACTCGAGTTGGCTTGAAATTAATACGAGCTGGCTCAAATTATGAGTTATTTGGATCCGTACCAGTTTGATTTGGCTCAAAATCCGCTCGAACTCAAAACGAGATGGCTTAATTTTTAGGTTTTTTTTATCCGTTTTAGCTCAAAAAATTTACTTATATCTAATTTTCTCTTTTCAGCAATCTCGTGCAAATGATTTCAAAATTTTATCAGTTATCGCCACAAGGAAGGGAAAACAGGTATGGTGGAGCATTTTTAGTTTGAAATAATTCAGTTTCTTTAAATGGATTACATCTTTCTCATCATCAATCTTTCTTTTGATTGAGCAGCAAGTTGGAGATCCTTGAAGTAAGTTCATCTGTCTCATTCTTCTCATAAAAATTTGTACCTTGCTTTTACTTTTCTCCCCCCTCATTGAAATAAATAGAAAACAAAAAGAAATCATTGCACCAGAAATTACATGGAGAGCTCTCAAGTATGCTAGATTAGATTTACTAGGTTCGTACTATAAAACTTTAAATCCTAATATGGTGGATGCACCAAATTTGTTTTGTAATTAATTAAAATAAGTAATTAACAGTTGTTGTTTATTGAAATGCAAGTTTTTTGTGTGGTTTATTTTTTGAGCAAATAAATCTTATTTCAAGCAAAAATTTATTGGTTTTCTTTTATTATGATTTAGACACTGAGAAAGACATTCAAGAATTTGGATCATGATGTAAAAATTGAAGATTTTATTGGTTCAAGGTATGGATTAAATGGTTTAATTTATTTTAGCTGCATATTATTATGATAAAGTCAAATTTCTAACATTTTGTCTCTCTTTTTTTATTTTATTTTTTTTTGCAGTGCTCGGACAGAAGAGGTATTGGTAGTAGATTACATGCATGAAAACAATATAAATCAAATTATAAAATTTGATCATTTTTAGGTTTAATATTATGTCTTTGTGCAGGAGTTGACCAACCATTTGCAGACATTAAAAGCTCAGTTGGCTGAATTGGAACTGAGATTGAGGTGATTCAATATTTTATTATACTAGAAAAATAACTATTTGCGCTTTAAAGATCTTTTATTCTCTTGTTTTTAATCTTTTTAAGTGTAGTCTTTAGTTCTTAAAAGTTCAAACTTCTAGTTAGTCATAGTTTCAGTTAAAATAATGATTATTCCTCATCAGTATCATTTTCCTTGAATTCTTTTCCTTATGAGTTAATATTGTGTTTCTCGACAAAATTGACGAACACAGATTTGGCACTGAATTGCTTTTTCATGTTTACCATAATCTTATTTTCTTCTTATCTCCTAAATGAGAATATGTCTAAATGAAATGGTGTTCTTTCTTAAGAGGACATCCAAGTGTCTTAGTATCTAGGTTCATATTCACTGGTCAAGCATTGTAAATGATGCCTTTTAATGATGGTTACAGTTATTGGACTGATCCTGGAAAAGTTCAAAGCATAGACCAGATCCAACGTATGGAACACACTCTCAGGGCATCTCTTAATCAGATTCAAATACAGAAGGTACGTGTCATTCATTCTATATAATATTGACATTCAAGATTATACAAGAAACAATACATGCATCATTAAGTTTTATGAAATTTAGTCAAAAAAATTAAAGAGTAGCCTAGCAAAAAAGTTATACAAGTAGAATTATATTTTTGTGGAGTGTGTCAGCTTTAGGTAAAATTAATTTTATATTTTTTTTAATTATTTATAAATTAATTGGTATGTTATTAAATTAATTAATTATAAATTAAGAGATATGTTATAAATTAACTGGTGTTACTAAAGTTGCTTGCATTCTCAAATACAAATTTTGTTTTTTGGCTTGCTAATGTTGCTCGCACTTTTTGATAGGCCTCCTTTGGGAATCAACTTATGCCACTATGCAATAGTGGTCAGGTAATGTACAATATTTTATTTTCGTGTCATGCACACAAATCTTTAACTAAATGGTAGAAATATTGCTTTAAATATTATTGATTCCATTTTTTCAAATGTTTTTTGTTTGGTTATGTTATTTCAGAATAGTATTCCATTGCCCATGGCAATGAGCAATGATCAACAATCTCCGCATATGCAATGGATTCATGGTTGTGACGGGCATCATCTTATGCGTTCAGAAGATGCTTATTTAATGCAGAGGTCAGGGCATGTACACTATTTATTTATTTTCTTTTTTTATTTGTTATTTTATGTTACTTTTGTTGCTAGTGTATGAAAGCTCTTTCTACTGATTAAGTTTTGAAAATTTGTTGTTTAATCTTTACACACCTACATAAGCCTCAGTTTGCAATATTGGAAGCTTCAATGTTCTAATGCATCATTATTAATATGTTCCACTTAAACACACCAATTATTCTGCAAGGTTCAATTTGGGATCATTTTTAAATTTTAATTAAATTTAATTTATATTCTGTCTTAGCTAAGAACAAATTAGTTATTCATATGCATTTAATACTTATTAAAAATGCTGATCCTCAATCTCCATTGTAGAATTTTATAATGGCCTATGAGAATATTTCTTTTGTGTATATTTGCTTTAGAGTTTTGAACTACTGTGATATTCATATAAATTTCGTTCATTAAATTCAATGTAGACTTGAGTGCTATTATTATCTTTCAATAGTAAGACATAATTATTTCAAAAATGTTGTGTTCTGAAAGTGTTGAATTTTGTTTCAGGAATTTCGACAGCTCCGCAGGCATAACACTTCAAGGTTTTTTCGACACTCAAAGACCAGAATGTAGCAGACGAGGACCTGGGAATGCCTCAAATGATTTGAACCAAAACTCCTGTTTGCAAGTGCAGCTTGGTGTCCATAATCCATATCAGTCCTATGATATGAATTATCCTCTTAAATTCTACCAACAACCTAATACTGGATATGATACTGATTTTCAGACATGGGCTTCTTCATTTGGTTCTCGTGGTATGGTGAAGTTTCATGAGCATCTTTACGCTCAGGTGAGCTCTGATGACTTCATTCATCTATATATTAATTTTTGTTGTGTGGGGAGATGCTATGGTCACATAAGATATAACATTTACTTTAAGTAACAAACGAGTTGAGTCTTGAGAATATTTGTACCGAAATTATCGATGCTCGTACCTTCTGGAATGTTCTAGCATCGAAAGTGTTACAAACCCTTTGGAGTAACATGTATGTATCGTTTGATTTATATGTGTCTAATTCATGATGAAATTGAGAGAATACCAAAATAGTTCAACTTTAGCCTCCAATAAAACATGGAACTTTTAATAGTAATGAACTCGGACCTCTAAAAGTGGAAAAAAATAATAGATGCGGATTTCACACCTACGGACATCGACAGTGATTTTTTTGAGGAGGGAAAAAAAGCTCCGATGGATCTTAGTTGTTGCCCGTAGGTGTGAAATCTGCACCTAATATTTTCTCCTAAAAGTGACATTGAAATCATATTTTCGCAATTGAAAATCTAGAACATAGGCAAATGAAACCATATTCATCATGGAATAATCTTTATGTTCTTCTGAAGATATCTCTGGCATTGGAGTAGAGATTTGATTATAGATAGCAATACTTTCTATGGAGCCCGCTAAGAACAATGCAAGTCATACTACATATAAGAGTCCTAAAAATTCTCGTATAGAAAATAGCTCCTAAAATGATTTTTTTTTTTAAAATTTTGAGGGTCAATGTTTACTTAAGGGGTAGGCTTTTTAAATTTTGAGGGTCAATGTTTACTTAAGGGGTAGGCTCCAAAGATTAACTACATCTCGAGTAGCATATTTGATAATACTCTTGATGAAGGAGAGAGTGCTTGTGTTTCTAAACAAAATTGGTGTAGGTCAATGTGGGTGGTTTCAAAAATTCCAAAAACTTTATGAATTTTATTTTATTTTTGATTTGTTGAGAGCACTTAGGAGGATCAAATTTTCAGAATGTTGATTGGATTGTATATAAAAAAACTACCCAGAGATTTGACCCTCATTTAGTGGGGACTTTTTAATATGGGGTTTGAGGCTTCCCATAGGCACAAACCCTTATGGTTAATTACCCTTTTCTGATAATGGGAGAGCAATTTTAATTAAGACTCCTTATTAAGAATTGAATATTCAACATATAATAGTAGTAGACATAGGATTTAAGTTGTATAATTCACCACTTGAAGCTTAAAGCGGATGGTGGTGGAATTAAAACGAACCCAATCTAGAACTCATGGTTTTGTCATCTCAGGCTGTCATGATCCCTGATCTACTTAGTCACAGGAGGTAGTCAATTCAATCTGACAGAAGAATCCTCATCATCAACCATGGGTTATGAATACCTCCTCCATATGACTAGAAGATTCCATGATAAACTTAATCTTGCCTATGTTAGGAATGTCATTTAATCACTTGAAGTGCAATTTCAAAAATAGGGCCATTAAGTTTATCATATAAAGGAAGATGGACATATCCAAAGGCTAAGATTCATATGAAGTTCATGCTTTTGTGCTATTGTTTTGATTATCTTCCTTAAGATGACCCCTAGCCTATATGAACACTTACAATAAAAGGTTGTCATGATGTGTATTGTTAAGGGGTTGTCTTGCCGGAGTCATGTCTCTATATCCCTTTCAAGATGTAGAACTAAAACTTAGGTACTATCTATACTAGAAAGTTTATTAGGCTTATTTGTTTTAAATTGATTTGATTTTACATATTTTAAGGATAAGAAAATTACTTCCTGAGTCAATGCAAAGAGGTGCTTGTGTAGATCTCTTTCTCGAATGACTCAAAAACAATCTAAGGAGCATTTCTTAAATTCTTCCCATGAGCATATTAGACATCTAGCATCCCTGAAATTAGATTTAACCCAAACTACATTAAGAAAACCGAATACTATTAAAAAAAAACAAATAGGTGGTTACAATGAAAACATACTTGAAAGTGAAATTACAACAAGGATGACACAAACTCATACTAGGCTCGAACAATCGGAGGTGGAGGTCGGCTCTGTGGTTGGGAGGCTGTAACAGATGGTTGGAACAATAAAAGAAGGGGTTGGAATCTCAATGGCAATAAATTTGAGGGCTTTGACTGCGAGGGCAACAAGTGTGGTGGTGAGCAAACAACAAGGCATGGTGGGAAAGGTTGGACTTGCCAGGGGACCACATGAAAATAGCATGTGTGTTGTTTTCTGGATGAGAGTAGCATTACAGACAACTGAACAACAGTAAAAAAATGAAGCGAGCGAGGGAATAGTGATAGAAGTGAAGGTTGAGGGTTGGAATTATGCGATGACAGCAAAGAAGAGGGAGTGGAAGGCAAAGGAGGCATATGGGACTATAAAAAACAACATTTGGAATGTTGTTGCAGGCGACTGCATCGAGATAAAGAGACCAAGAGTAGTGTGGGAAGGATAATGGAAGATAATTACAACTAAAGGAGAAAGATACAATTAGGTAGCAACGACAAGATATAGTGAACTGGAGTGACGTGGGGAGGATGTAGAAGATGATCACCACCTCGGGAGAGAGATAAAGCCAGAGCACCATCCAATTCCTTGGATACAAACCCTCAAAGAGAGAAACTGAGACAATTGTCTTAAACAAACACATGCATAAAACTAAACCTACAACATCAGAAATACAAATATGTAATAAAGGGATGACTAGGAGAGACCCAAAAATATTGGGCCGACTCCTCAGAAGGGAGAAAACTTGCATCGGTTCAGTCAAAGCAAAATAATTGGTCATACGGAAACGATCGCATGCAACACTTGTTGCACCCGCGCGGGCCTGGGAGCCCTTGCGTTACTCCTTGCACTGAAAACCATGAAGCCATGCTAGGGTTTCCAATTCTAAACATAACCACACCGCCTTTGAGCTTCTCCTCCTCATATAATTCATTTACCACAAAATATCGACCTATCCAATATACCCACTCATGTACATCTTCCCCCAAAAGATTGATATTTTTATCTTCCCAACCCTAGCATCTCAACTCTAATTCCCTCTCCCTTTACTATTATTCCCCATGTATTGATGGTAAAAAGTACTCCTTCAATCATTTCCATATGACCATCTTGAATTCTCTTCTCTCTTCTTCATGCTCCTCCATACCACTTGCATAGCCCCTTCTCCTTATTTCGGTCCACCCGCTTCCATAAGAAAATCTCTTATCCACCTCCATCAGAAACCTGAGAGGATTTCTTGAAGATGGATGATTTTCTACTTGTATTCCTCTCGTTTGAACAATTTCCGTTTTGATTTAGCTAATGAATCTTCATTCAACCCATGGGAAGGGTTTACAAACTAAACCATTGGTAAGGTCTTGGATTGCATCTCAATAAGCTTCCTCAACATCTCTATCAAGCTCTCGAATCAATTGTCAATAGCAAAAAATCTTTCTTTTATCCTAGATTTAAGTTTCCCCACTTCTTCCTCCCATTTCTTCTCCAAATCTTCATTCTTGACCGCCATTACTTCCTATCACTAGGGCACGTTTGATTCTGGATTTGGTTGCAGGCTTCTAGGATCACAATTAGGGCACGCTAGATGATGTTGCTACCAGCCCCACTAGTATGCTCGAGCTTGTTTCACATGGTTCAGTGTGAAGGAGATGAATGCATGCTTATATCCCTTCTATTTCCCTAATAAATCGACCTGTGATCGTATCACAAGGCTTCTGTCATGGTTTTATAGGATCTCTTCGTCGCCTTCCCAACAAAATCTGATTGCAATATGTATCGTAGGGTTCGGTCATGAAGGCAATAGGTAGCTAGCTCCAATTGCAATTACGATCCCGCCATCACCTTCCCAACAGGCTCTGATCGAGATTATATCATAGGGTTTGGTTACGAAGGTGATATGCACATAGCTGCCTAGCTGCATTAGCGATGTATTATTATCTTCATTCCACCATAGGAGTGTGTCATTCCCTTCGTGACATAAAGGAGTTTTAGATCTCTGTAAGCCACAATCATGTCATCGTTTCCCTATGAGCGCGACCAATCCTCTGTGAGTCGATTTTTCTTATTTTTTCATATCGATGCTCTGATGCCAATTTGATACGATTTAGGTTGATTTCTCATTAAAATAGATCACAAAATATCTTTATTTCAGAAATACTAAATAAAATTGCACACGTTGCACAAATGCATAAAGATAAGCACCTATATTCGAGAGGTAAGTGATCTCTCCCAAATCCTACTATTTGGGAGGTAGGAACTCTTTACCGAACCCCCAACCGCAAGAATCACAACTACAATCATACCTAATCCTAGAACTATTAGGGTCTATTTATACTAAGCAATAAAAAATAATAAAAGACTCAATTGTCCTTGGGCACATAAAATATAAAATTGCCCTATGGCTAAGCACCGGCATAAGAGAATGCGCAATGACTTCATGTGATTTGAGATCAACAATTGTTGTGGAATGAGAATTTCTGTTCTCTCAAAATTGGCTTAGGTATATTCACCTTAAGATGAAGTTGAGGCTGGTTGTTACTAGATGGCTTTGAGAGATAGGAAATTGTACATACGTGGCACACGATTTTTTCAAATTTACGTACCTCATATTAAAACTTTATAATTTTTATCCATAGTAGGTCTTTTAAGCCTATGCATTAAAAGGAATCTTTTACTCCTAAAAAATAGTAATAGTGTTATTTTATGTTTGATATTAAAGATTTAATTGCTTTGTGTAAATATGAAAGTTTAAGTATGAGATATGTAAATACATGAGAATTGTCTGTTATGTATGTAACTGCCCGAAATTTAGATGGAGAAATGATTATTCTACCACACGTGGTAGGAGAATATTCATATGAAATTATCTTCAAGTTCGCGGAGAATGACCATTCTCTTCTCATTTTCAACTCATTGAAACAACATTCAAACATTAGATTATAGTTGAATTTTGAAGAAATTTTTGTTCATCAATTGAATATAGCAACAATTTCTCAATGAATGATTGTGATTACATTAGAAGTTAATTGCATTCCAACATGTACAATCTTTCAAATAATTTGGCATTAAGGCATGTGTTGCCAATATAATATAATGTATTTTATTATCATGATTTTTTCTATGTACAACACATATGTAAAGTCTTGAATCCAAAACCTCTATGTTGAAAGACAACTCTCAACCAGTAGGTTAAGATGATTATGCTCATCTGTAATTATTTTTTTTTTCTAGACTATTATGAAATTTAATGAAAGTCTATATTTTAATAATTCCTTTTTTATTTAGAGTTTAGAGTTTATGTAGAGTTAATATGGCTTTTGTTTTTGTTTTGTTTTTTATTTTTTTTATCCCTAAAATTTTCTAAATTTTTATTCTTGTTTCAACCAGACCCAGAATCCTGTTTCAGGCGGCTGTTCTTCCAGTTCCAACATGGCGCCCTGGAGGCCTTAGTTGTCTACATAGCTTCTCGAGAGAACTTACATAATAATAATATTATTATAAACATATTGTTTAGCTGCTTATAGGGACAGGACCTAAGATTTGTGCATTTATTTCCTTTGCTTTTCTTTGACAAATATGCACGTTACATTTATTTTCAGTAATAAATATAGTAATAATATAAATGTTACGGAAGGTAGTTTCTTAAATTTGGGTCATTGTTTTTAAAATTAATGAATTTGTTATGATGTGAATATAATCTAAACATTAATTATATAATTATATATTAGATTTTATTCAATAAATAATATTTAATTAAAGGTAATAGATATTTGTTAATAATATCATTTTTACTGAGAATTTGAACATTCAACTTATTCATCTTTTATTTATAATAATACTAATTAATTAATTAAATTAGTCTCTTTAAGTTACTCTCCTCATCGGAGAATTAAATGGTAAAAGCCTGATTGATGATGTGTGACCTTTTCATTGGTAAGTTAAATAACACACTAAGCTTGTAATAAACATTCATAATCTTATTAACTAATTCAACTTGACAGTAATTTCCCTAGTGCACTCTTTAGATACATCAAAATCTGATACACTGCATCCATATGAACCGTTCTTGCATCATGCATGTAGCGGCTCACCACACTTATTGCAAAAGAAATATCAGATCGAGTGTGACATAGATAGATTAGGAGACTCACCATCCCCTAATACCCCTCACGATCAACTGATTCACCTGCATTTATACGGAGCTTGACCTCATATCGTGGAGAGACTGAAAGTTTGCACCCTCGCATACATGTCCTATGAGAAGACCCAGTACATACTTTCTCTGGGATAGGACCATCCCCTCTGGTCCATGGGCCAATTCAACCTTAAGAAAGTATCTGAGCTATCATAGATCCTTTACCTCAAATTACTTCCCCAAACTTCCCTTCAGTTGAGAAATCTCTGTATCATCATTATCAATGATAATTATCTAAAGTTTATGATAAACTAGTTTAATCAAGCAAGCATAAGAATGTTTGTAGGAAATTCAAGTTTTAAGAAGTTTCCCCCTTGAATTGATTTCGTGGAGAATATGAATTGAGCAAGTGATTAAAATTTAGTGTCAAACAAGAGTTAGTCGTTCCTTATCCCCTTTCGGTGGTCTAAGAAAATTTGACTGGCAAGAGCATAGTTCCCTAAATCCTTTGACCAATCCAATTAAATTAACTCTTTAAATGTAAGCATGAACTCCAAGACAATATACCTATTCTATCGAGCAAATGTGGTTAACTTCTATCATTCTACTATTGTCTGACCCGACCTGTAATTACGTGTATTTTTAATCTCTAAAATATTGCCAAAAATTTTACGTAAATTATATTCAGCGGCTAGTGTGAATAAATGTAATGATATAAATAATAAAACTACACACTAGAGGTATTACGCAAGTATACATATCGTTTCAAGTAATACAGAATTTTCCTTAAAAACCCAGTATCGATCCCAGGAGGATAGTTGAACAATTTAAATCAGCTTGCTAAACTCAAAAGCAAATTCTATTTAAATTGCAGATTTAAATGAAAACAAAATGATAACAATGGTTAAGACTAAATTAAAGCATATATAAACAATTATATTTAATAGTTTAATAAAAGTAATTCTACGAGTTTGCATAATATGTAAATATCTTTCCCCTTGCAATGAGAAAATAATCTATGCAGGATTTGAATGACTAAAAATAAGATGATGTATTGTGAAAAATAAGAGAATTCATATTTTTTACCTCCTCCAATGCTAACCAAGAACATTAGCTAATTTAGAGTTTTTCACCAATTTGTGTAGTAGTGTTGAGTAGATTATGACCTCTCATCTCCAGATTACTCACTGTGCCCTCTCTAGAGGACCTATTAGAGACCCTTACGATCAAAACTCTAAATTGAATTTGAAAAGGAATATAGTCTGTCACCCTAGAAACATCAATTCTATGCTCAACAAAATTTATCTACCTATTTATTTGCACTCGCCATTAGGTGATCGCAATTGCTCTGCCTAGAATGAAGGGTGACACTCACTAGTTTGGTGAAATCATAGCCCTCCCAGATCTTTATGTTTCTCAACGAATTTTAACCTCATTAGTGGCCAATTTGTAAAGTCAATGAAAAATTGGTGAAAATGTCATCACAATTTTTAAAGATAAAAAGAAATCTTTAAATCATTCTCATCCCACCAGATTAATTCCTAAGAGCAAGGAGAAAGAAAGGAAACTACTTAGAACTCATGGAGAATAAAACAAAAACACCAAATTTATATTGAAATCCAAGTCATAGAAACAAAAAACTTAAGCACAAATACAAAGTACCATATGTCTTCTCCCTAACATAAATTTTGAAGTCTCCTTTAAGAAATCGCCGAACTCTTACTTTTACAACACAAAACACACTAAAACATACACTTAAACACAAAAGTAGGACTTCCTAAAGCCTTTAAAAGCTGTCAAAATTTCCTCGCTTTCATCCAGTTTTCGTCCATATTAATAGATCTTTGAAAATAACCAAGGGTTGCTTCAAACACCCCTTCAAAATTCGGCCAAATTCAATAGATTTTCTAGAAAGAAAGTTACTGGAGCTATAACATCGTTTGTCCGCGTCTGTGGAGCTATAGCGCCAAGGGACGACATCATGGCGCCATATAATATGCACAATTTTTGCTCATTTTTACCTAATTTTCTTTGAATGTCAATTCCGTGTACCTAAAACCAAAAACATACAAAAATACATCTCTTTAAAGTGCAATATCATTAAAAATATGCATAAAATGATATAAAATATGCACTAAAAATAAGTAATTTTAAGGTGGATCATTCCCCTAAACTTAAACGTTACTTGTCCTCAAGAAACTCTTTTATACTATGTAAAAATTATAGCTTGTGGAAATGAGTTTAACTTAGAGATTTCTATAGTTTTTGATTTATAAATGTGATAGTGAAGTTTTAAAAAAGTTTTAATAACTCAGGTTAAAACTAAAATGTAAGAATATCTGGTAGTCAAGTCTAAGAGTTCTGATTTTCAATTTATTTTAAGAGTAATTGTAATTTGGTCATATTTTGAATGCTTAGAAGAATTAAAGTAAAAAGAACTTCATAAGGAAGTAAGGATACTAATAATTCAAGCCTTAACTTAGAAATGCAATTAAGTTCCTTTCCTTAAGATGATTCAAGTAGAGTCAAATTATGATTAGACATATCCTCAAGCTTTTCCTCACACTTTTTCATTATTGCTCTTCTTTTTTTCTTTTGATTTTTCTTTAGGAACTTTTTCAATCCTTTCGTTTTTCTTTTCATGTCATGTGAGGATTATTATATTTGGATAACCTTTAATGATTTTGAACTCGTCCATCCTCTGCTTAAAATTAAAAACTTTCCACATTTCCTTATTTTGACAAAATTGTATTAGCTTTGAAAAAGATTTTTCATTGTCTCAATTTCTTTTTTTTTAAGTAAAACTCTAAAATTCTTAACAATTTTAAAAATACAATTTTCTTTACTTTAAATAGTAAAAACATAATCTTGTCCTTTCATACTAAATATTTTAACTTTAACTAAACTTCATTATAAAAACTTAAAGGTTTCTATGACATTTATAAAATTTAAAATATAGTTATCTTAAGTTATCCTGACATGTATGTTGAATTAAATTTTTAAAATAATACAGTTTGTTAAGGACAAATAAAGTTTAGTCCTTTTAAAAAGATTTTCTCCCTTCCCCCAAACTTAAATTTTTAATTAATTTCAACATATTAGTTTAGGCATAAAGAAAAATTATAATGTTTAAAAACAATAGAATAGTGCAGGTACAACTAATTAAGACAAGTGAAATTAACATGTCTAAAAATAAAAAGACTATTCTAGCATTTACATTGAAGTAAAAGATAAACATTAAAAGTAGGATAACAGTTTAGTGCAATAAATATAACTTTAACAATTTACAAAATGCAAATTTAAACATTCTAACAATCATACAATAGCAAACTAACTACAGGAAATCTAAACATGAAAACGAAAAAAATAAAACACAACAAAACAAACAGACAACCCTACACATCATCATCACCATTATCACCATCATCTTCATCATCATCATCATCATCATTAAAGTCTACATCCTCCTCCACATCATCAGGTTTATAAGCCGTATATCTGGGGAAAGTAGGAAATACTACAGAGTAGTCACCCCTTAAGAATTTCTCCATCGCCTCATGACAAGCAATATCATAATCTACTCTTCTCTACATATACTCATCATTATGAAAAAGATGGGCTTTTAAACTTATTTGTTGATTCTATAATGTTAAGACATTTCCTTGTTGAATGAATAATTGTTCCATTACATGTAGAAGGTCTAGAAGTTGAAGCTAAAGCTGAAGTAGAAGGAATAACAACGCCTCTACTTCTAGATCTTACTCCAACATGCTTTCCATACATCTCCAAATTAGTCTTTCCAATAGGCTTATTAAATTTTCGAATAGGTTTATGAGATGGTAACACTTTTTCCCAAGTCTCATATTTTACTCCAGATTCAACACATAAAGTAGTAATAAGAGCCGGATAACCCATACCTCCAGTAATGCCTCCCCTCGAAGAAATAAGCCTATTCTTGTAAATTAAAGAGACAATGTCAAATGATTTGTTCATCTAAAGGTAATAGTTCAATGTGGCTCTTTCTCGAGTTACCTCACTGAAGTGATTAGTAGGAAGCAACCTACCAGAAATAAAATAATGTCAAGCACGAGAATGAACACTTAGCTTTGAGAAGAAAAGTTTACCCGGCGTCCATTCTTAATCTTCCATACTCCATTACCATCAGTCAAAAATTGCATAATCTAGTCCAATTCCTCTTTAGTAGGATGAAACTCAGAATAGAAACAAGTAAGAACACTATGCAACTTGTAAATGTGATTGATCCAAGCAGACCTTATGTCCACATATTACCTTCTCACATAAACTAAATCATCTGATTCATCAGGTAAATTTGAGTAGAATTCTCTAACCACATAAATCATAGTGACGACAATAAAATAACAAAAACTTTCCCACTGTCACCCTGCAATTATACATTTTATTATTCCACCAGGATGAAAGAAACTTTATTCTTCAATCAATTTCTTAGATTGCAGATCACAATACCGGTCCTGAGCTTTCATGCTCGTGAATTTATCGGCATCAAAAACTCCATTTCCTTTTCCTCTTTTCATCTTAGGAGCCATGAAAAAATCTAGAAATTCCAATAAATATCAAATATATGATTTTTAGGCTCCAACAAACACATTTTAGACTAAATAATCATTCAACTATGGATTTCTCACTATTTACACCAAGTTTTGAAATTTTCGGCCAATCACACAATGTGGAAGAAATCCAAAGTGAAATAAAAAATTTCCAAAGCCAAGATGAAAATCTTACCAAAAGATGATGAAATCTAGAGTTTGAAGTCTTTACTCCAAGCGAATCAAGCACAAATCCAAGCCCTAGAAGAGCAAAAATGCAAAAAATAGAGGAAGAAGACAAACCAATGTCAAAAAATGGCGTCAACTGGCCCCCTAAAATCTGCTCTCGGGTTGGCTCGACGTTGTACTGCCAAGAATGGCACTTTAGCGCCATTCAAACCCATCCAGAATTTTACGATTTTTTATATCATGACAGAGAACAGAAAATATAAGACGTTTAAAGTCTAATTTTCCAGTTTTAATGGCCATTTTTGAGTTCGACATCATTCAAAAGTCTAACATTCAAATACTCAATTCATCACATAAAGTCTTCGCTTAACAACAACACATAACTAGTTTTCTTATATTAATAATCAGGTTGACCCAACATTAAGATCTCCTCAAATGTAGGACTATCGCCACTTATATAAGCCTTTAACTTGTGTCCATTTACCTTAATTATCGTTCTAGTATTAGGATCTTCAACATTAACAACTTCATTTGGATAAACTCTTATCATAATAAATGGTCTTGACCACGTGGACTTAAGTTTTCCCAAAAATAATTTCCATCTTGAATTGTATAATATAACTTCTTATCCAGGCTCGAAATGCTTTTTCAGAATTTCTTGACCATGCCTAGTTTTCATTATCTCTTAATAAATTTTTGCATTCTCATAAGAATCATTTCTCATCTAGTCAAGCCCATTTAATTGTAATAATTTTTTTCTCCAATATCTTTCAGATTATATTAAACTCTTTTATTGTCTAGTAAGTTTTATATTCAAATTCAATAGACAAATGACAAGCTTTTCCAAATATGAGCCTACATGGTAACATTCCTATAGGAGTTTTGTAAGCATTCATATAAGCTCATAATGCCAAATTAAGTCTAGCAAACAATCTCTTCTATTAAGATTTACAGTTTTTTTCAATATTATTTTTAATTCTCGATTGAAGACTTATGTCAAGCCACTAGTCTGAGGATGATCAACTGTAGTAATTCGATGTTTGATTCCATATTTTTGAGTTATTGTTTCAATTATTCTATTCTTAAAATGAATTGTCATGTCTGTAATGATTAAAGCAATCACTTCAATCCATTTTGAAACAAAGTCTACAACTATTAAAATATAAAATTTTCCAGAAGATAGTATAAATGATCCCATAAAATATAAATCCCCACATCAAAAATTTCAACTTCAAGAGTAAAATTTAGGGGTATTTCATTTCTTCTCAAAATATTGTCTACTCTTTGGCATCTATCATATGTTTTTATATAATAATTAATATCTCTAAATATTGTAGACTAATAAAATCCATATTGCAAAATTTTAAATGCAATTTCATCAACCCCAAAAAGTCCTCCAAAATCAGATCCATGACACTTGTGTAATTTCTCGGGGTTTTTCAATTGGTACATATCTTTGAATAAATAAGTCCTTACATTGTTTATATAAACAAGTGTCATCCTAAAAATAATATTTAGAATCATGAAAGAACTTTTTAGTTTGATGGCTATCAAGTCCATAGGGTAAAATGTTACTAATTAAATAGTTTACTAGAACTTGTCATTCATTATTTCCATATAATTACTCATAAAAAAAACTTTCATTAATTTCATCATTAAAATTATCATTTTCCTTTTCAAGCCTTAACAAATGATCAGCTATTTAATTATCACTATCATTCATATCCATAACTTGAAAATCAAACTCTTGCATTAGAAGGACCCATAAAATTAATTGTGGATTTGCATCATCCTTCATCATTAAATACTTTATAGTATAATGATCAGTATACCCAACTGATCCACCTCAAAATAATCTGTTTTTAACACATATTTTAAAAGCAATTTATGTATATTTTTTATGATATTGCACTTTAAAAGAAAATATTTTGTTTGTTTTTGGTTTAAAGTACATGAAATTGACATTTAGAGAAAATGAGAAAAAATAGAGCAAAAATGATAATTTTAGTGTGGCGCTATAGCGCCACCCTTTGGTGTCATAGCGCTACAGTTGAGCGAGGAGGGCGCTACCCCAGACTAGCGTTATAGCGCCAGTACTATCTTTCTAGAAGATACATCAAATTTGGCCGAATTTGGGAGAAGTGTTTGAAGCAACCCTTAGTTATTTTATGTTTTCCATTTAATGAGAAGGATTTGGCCGAATTTAGGTACCTTTTGGAGCCTCAAACTTCCATTGGGCATAAATAAGGAGTTAGATTTTTCATATATTGTGTTCAAGTGTAAGTGTGAGTGTGTTTTAGTGTGAAGAAGTTTGAAGATTGCTTAAAGGAAACTCTAGAAGTTTGCTTGGGGAGAAGACATAAGGTACTTTGTATTTGTGTTTAAGTTTTTATTGTAAGACTTGGATTTCAATGTAAATATTTTATTTTTATTTAATCTCAATGAATTTTGAGTAGTTCTTTTTCTTTCTTCTTGCATATGAGACTTAATCTTATGGGATGAGAATGATTTAAAAATTTCTTTTTACTCTTAAAAGTTGTGATGATATTTTCATCGAATCTTCATTTAATTTACAAGCTGGCCACCTGTGAGGTTAAAATCCGTTGAGAAACATAATGACCTGGAAGAACTATGATTTCACACAACTAGTGGATACCACGCATCATTCTAGGAAGAGTCATTGTGATCACCTAAGGGAGAGTGCAAATAAATAGGGAGATAAGTTTTGATGGGTGTAGAATTGGCTAGATCTAGAGTGACAGACTAGATTATTATCAGTTTGGCTTAATTTTTAAATGTTTAGTACCCTGACGTTGAGATTCGATCATTACGGTGTCATAGGCTTGGGACATCTAGAGGTGAGAGGCTAGATAGTTCTCATGTGGAGTCGAGATGTTAAGGAATCAGCCTTACGTTAGTTAATGTTCTTTGCAAGCACCCAGAAGAGTTAAATAATAAAGTATGTTTCTATTTGTCACAATACCTGATGCGCCCTAGTGTGTGTTATTTTTCTGCGTGTTTTATGTCAATTTAAATCCCCAATAACAGTGCCAAAAACTTGACCCGTCTCAAAATTACGCATTAATGTAACTTCCAAAATATGACAAAAAACTTGACCCAATTTAAATTTAGCAGTTCAAATCAAAATGTTATAAAATATATAAAATAGTTCACACATTAGTGGTTCTATGCAAGTGCACGTATCACTTAAAGTAATATAGGGCTTTTTTTAAAAACTCCAGTATCGATCCCACAAAGAAGCGCAGTAAGAAATCCCTTAGCCTAATTCTAGTCTACTACTATCAAGTCTTAGTTTTGGAAGATGAAAATTCTTATGATAATAACTTAAATTACAATATTCAAACTATAAAAATTAAATTAAGAAAAAAAAAGTTAAAATGTGTTTAATCAATGCTAATAGAAATGTACCTAAAAGAACTAAGTTTACTAAATTAATTTCTAAACTTCAAAATTAAATTTACTAAGACTAAATAAAGTTTTGTGACGAAGAGTTCAAATTTAAGAAAACATATTTCCCCTTTATAACGAGTATATGAATTGTGAAGAAATTAAAATCATTTGAAAATATATAAAAATTATTTTGTGCCAAAAAGGAGCAATTATATTCTTTACCCTATTCCGAGTACATAAAGAACATTGACTAATCCAGAGTTTGAACAGTAATTTTGTGGTTAGGTTGGGAGGATACCGGGTGCCACTCCAGAGCTCTCACTACTCCCTCACCTGAGGGTTAACAATCTCGCATCAGTTATCAATCAACTTGACCAAATTAGGGATTTTAATCTGTCACTTTAAAATCTCTAATTCTGCATCCAACAAAATATATTTCACTCTTTATTGCACTCAACCCCAGGGATGAAATCCTCTCCCATGAAATCAAATGTGATTCGCACTATTTGTAGAAATTAGAGCCCTTTCGGAACATATTTCTCAACATATTTTAAAATTTCAATTGGTCAAATCAAAAATTAAATGAAGATCGAAGTTCGAATCATCACAAATTATTAACATTTAAACCAATAGAAAACAAAATCAATTCTTCACAAAATTATATCTCAAAGTAAGGAGAAAGATAAAGAAGACTACTCAGAATTCATAAGAAGGATATGACAAAACATGGTTTGGCGCATCATGCGCCAC